ATATATATAATATATATATATAGAGAGAGAGAAGTAGATGGATAATAGATAAATGTGAAAAAGGTTAAAATTGAATTATAACCAAAAGCACTAATTAAGTTGTTTAAAGATACTAAGACATTAGTATATGGTTAATCTACTAAAAAACTAATTATGTCGATTCCGTTAATGATTAGTCCCCACATTGTTCTCAAAATCATAGCTCGAGGAGAACACTAATGTCGGCTTAGAAACGTCAAACAAAAAAAACAGACTCTTTGGGCAAAACAATCTCTTCATGAATTCTACCACTCGAGCCCTTCTCCCTCACAGTAAGCCATCCTTCCTCCTCCTCCTCTGGCAAAGTATTCGCCCAATCCGGCCTCTTTTCAGTGGCCAATCCTCTCATCATCTCTCTCACCGCATCTAAAATCGAAAATGAATCCAGTTGTTTCAAAGTTCTCGGAGGAGTAAGTGGAATTACTGAATTGGCCAATGAGTAACCAAATTGACTTTTTGGCTTTGGGTGCAAAACAGAGCAAGACATGGCTTCCGCTTTTGATTCAAATTCTGAAGAGGAGGTAGTGGCGAATGGGTGCGTTAATAACATTTCTGCAGTCCAGCGTTTGTTGGGATCTTTTTGGAAGCAACAACGAAGGAAATCTTTACCCTCCTCCGACATCTCTTGAGGGATCTCCGGCAACTCATCGCTGCACCCGATTCGAAACAACAGAGGCCAAATTCCATAATCAGAATCCTCGACGTCACGCCAAGGTAGCCTGCCGGAAGCCATTTCGGACACCGAGCATCCTAAAGCCCAAATGTCCACTGCCGTGTTGTACTCATTCCTTGAAGCAGATTCAGGAGCCACGTACAACGGCGTTCCCTTTATGTATCCCTTGGTGGATTCATCTCCCGTCCTCGTCGCAAGACCGAAATCGGCGATCTTCGCTTCTCCGTCGACAATTAATTAAGATGTTAAGATGTTATCGGGTTTTATGTCACAGTGAACATATCCCATGTTGTGGATGTGTTGAAGACCCAAGAGGATGGAACGAACATAGCGGCGGATGGTTGGTTCCGGTATGGTAGGGCACCGAAAATGCAGCCTCCGACGGCGTATTCAAGGAAAAGGTTGTACATTAGTTCGCCGGAGATGTCGGTGGTGATGTCATGTCCAAAGCAGCGGATAATTTGAGGACATCCCTTCAGGTCTTTGAGTACAACCTCTTCACGTTGGAGAAGCGTGGAAGAAGTGAGACTAGTGGATTTGACGGCGAATGCGGCGGAGGGGAAGCTACGGTGGAATGCAACGTAGACTGCAGCGGAGCTTCCTTGTCCGATGGCAGCGCCCCTCACCCAATCCATCTTCCTATATTATCTCCACAGGTGAAGGCAAAAGACCGTTAAAATGTTTTATTTTTTTTTGGAAAGCATGGAGATATGTGGAGAAAGACGGCCGCCTTTATAAGTGAGCGGTAGAATTCAGATCCAAATCAGGACCCGATATCAATTGTTCTTGGCAAATGGTTGGCTCACAGAGGGCATCTTAAATTTGATTAAAATAAGATACACTATTTCCTTAATTTTCCAAATATAGAACTAAATTCATAATAAAACTGGCTTTTATTTGTTTTTAATCTCTCTCACTCTTTCTATTAATAACTTTTAAAAATTTTAGGGATTTAAATTAATAACACTTACATTAAAATTCGCAGCATGAATTATTATTATTACTATTATTATTTTGTGTGGATAAAATTCAACGAAAATTGTATTTAAAAAAAAAATTCAAATATGTTGCTATATTTAAACACATTATATATATGTTGCCATATATAAATACATGATAATTGAGTAGGATGTGCTAAAATCTTCAAACAAAAAGTTGAGATATGTTGCCATATTTAACTTTCCATGCATAATGTTATTTTCCGGCCAAGCTATAAGAATATTCCTTTCAATTTTCTAGGACAGCTCTAAATAATTTTCTTAATGAGAAAAAATTCTCTTGATTTAATATAGAATTTAAAAATGAATAATAATTGAACTTAATTATCCTTTGTCTGTAATTTAATTACATTGGATGGAAATCTACATGCCATTAAAATATTAAATATTTTTTGTTTTTATTTACTTAAATAAAATAAAAAATTCATTATTATTAAATTTTGGAGTACATACATTCATACCATACAAGACTTGTCTATTTATATATCTATTCTAAACATTCATATTTACATCTATACCAAAATTCATTAGCATCACATCAAAATAACAATCATTATCTTTTAAAAAATGAAATAAAACTTTTTATACAAAAGTTTTAGATGTGTTATAAAATTAATAGGCTTACGTATCAAATTTTGGGTGGCATATGTAAATACATGAGAATTCTGTGGAGACATCAAAAAAGGACATGCAAAAATTCTATTTTGTTAAGAGAACATAATACTCACTGGTCAGTGCGACTACACAAGTATTTACATATCTACCACCTAAACTTTAAATTTTATAGTATGCTTTTACAAGAGGTGTTACATTTTTTAAAATTTTTATAGGAGAGTGCTATTTTTAAACTAATACGAAATATTTGATAAATTTAAACATCAAAGTTTAGGTATTATATATGTAAATGCAAGAATTGTGTGGCATATATGTAAAAATCATTTTTAGAGCAGCAAGAGAGTTGACACGTGGGCCAGCAAATAGCTACATGTCACGGACAAAAAGTTTCACATCGGCTAGGTGTAGAGCCGATAAACAATATTTAAGTCCTGGGCTGCCCACCACTCCGAAGAGCTCTTTTGGGAAGTGACAGGTGGTATCAGAGCAAATTACTGCCTGTCAGGTGTGTGGACTCTCCATGGTCCAGTGGGACCCTCGGTGGAGTCGATCTATGACGAGGAAGTCACGTGATTGAGTGAAGGAGAATGTCACGGATAAAAGTCTCACATCGGCTATGTGTTGGACCGAAAAGCAGTATTTATGTCTTGGGCTGCCCACCACTCTGAAGAGCTTTTTTGGGAGGTGAGATACAGTTCTGAATATTTTGGAACCAGGACAACTTTAGAAGAATATATAAATATTTGCAAATGTATCATGTTTTTTAGGCATTGTCCTACCATCAAATTATACTTGTAACAACTTCAATCTGATGCAGGTAATTCAGGACCTAATACGCACCGTGCTAGGGGAAAAATTTGCCAATGTAAGGCGTACACAGCGGTACGAATATAATGAGGTTATATTCGCATTATATCGGCATTATATTCGCGTTATATTCCCTGTAACTTTCATGTAACTTCCATATAACCTATATGTAATCTACAGATGTGTGAAAACAGAAGCACGAAACTTATTTGTAAGTTCTATGTGTGAAAACAGAAGCACAAAACTTATTTGTAAGTTCAGGTATGTTACAGGTAGGTTATATGGATGTTACATCGAGGTTACAGGCTGTGAATATAACCTTCATTATGTACGCAGCGCTGCGTACGTCTTACATACGCAACCCCCGTGCTATGCAGAGGATAACAATAAAATAATGATGAGCCTCACCGATACAAATGCCCCATAAAATTATCTTATAAAGACATTTAAACCCAAAAAAATGAACAACACCATCTATGCTATCGTTGAAACCATATTGATGATGATTGACTTGATATGATAAGACAAGCTTATGCTACCATGAAGCTAAAATTCATTACAAATTTCTACAAGAAAAATTGAGGATAGATTTTGAACGTTTTGCCCCAAAAATATTGTGTTGTGTGTTGCGCATGAATGTTCATTAGAAGCTTGTGCAAATTTAATATCACTCATATATTAGATTTTATATGATGGAGATTTACATACATACCACTTAATTCTTAAGTATATACTTATGTAACACCTGAACTTCAATTTTTACATGCATGCCACCCTACCTATGCTTTCAAAGATGCATTTCACCCTTTAAAAGTTAAAATGGTGGTATTTTTTATTTGATATAAATGTATAAATTAAAGTTTAGGTGTTAGATAGATATGGAAGTACAAAGGCATTGGGTGGTATATATGTAAATGCCCCTTTATATAATATATAGATTAGGGGCATTTACGTACTTACAACCCAATTTTTATGAACTAATATATCTAACACCTAAATTTTACTTTAACATTAATATAGATTTAGTAAAGAGAATTTCCCTTGATTTTATAGTGAAGAGATTTTGCATACATACCACTCAAACTCTTAACATATCGTCAAAAAAACTATAATCAATATCTTTGTTTGATTCAGCTTTTTTGATTCTTTGTAAGAAATCTTAGAAAGAGTTCATGGTAAATACTGAAATTTAGTATGGCTTCTTCAGTTCATCTCGATTCATAAAATCAAGGGAAATTTACATACAAAATTTGGAAATGCTTAGGTGTTAGATCTGTAGATTGGGAAATGTCTTTTGCAGTTGAAGTTGGCTTGATAAATCCCATTTTTGAGCCAAAATTAATCAAATCCTCTTAAATACAATATTTATCTCAGTTAGCATTTAGAAGCCTTTACTAGGTGCTGATGGAATTTGACATAAATCCTCCTTAAAGCCGCCAACCAAATCTAAAATTGTTTAAGTTTGGTTAAAAAAAGTCTTAGAAGGGACATTTACATACATGCCACCTAATTCCTATGTATTTACATGTCTTAACGTCTAAACTATAGCTTTTACATTTATACCACCCAAATCTTTCACATTAGTACAGGGTTAATCTGCCAAAAAAAACTAATTCTGCTTATTCCGTTAATGATTTACCCCCACATTGTTCTCAGAATCAGAGCTCAAGAAGAACACCAATCGCGGCTTAGCTTTCAGCAAATGAACCTAAAGCATAAAAAATGGACTCTTCCGGTAGAACAATCTCTTCTTCAAATCTACCACTCGAGCACTTCTCCCTCGCAGTAAGCCAAAAAACTAAGGAAATCCTTACCCTTTTGACATCTCTAGGGGTAACTCCGGCAACTCGTCGCTTAATGCGATTCGAAATAACAGATGCCAAATTCCATAGTCAGAATTCTCACGTTGCTCAAAGGTAGCCGACTCGAAGCCATTTTCGACACCGAGCATCCTAAAGCCCAAATGTTCGCCGCCGCATTGTACTCATTTCTTGCAGCAGATTCAGGAGCCACATACAGTGGCGTTCCCCTTATGTATGCCTTGGTGGATTCCTTTCCCGCTCTTATCGCAAGACCAAAGTCGGCGATCTTCGCTTCTTCGTCGACGATTAAGATGTTATCAGGTTTAATGTCCTTAAATCATCCTCTTGCTTCTGCAACACTTGAGATGCCAAATTTTGATAGTCAGAATCCTCGACGTCGAGCCAAGGTAGCCTGCGGGAAGCCATGTCGGACACCGAGCATCCTAATGCCCAAATGTCCACCGCCGCGTTGTATTCATTTCTTGAAGCAGATTCAGGAGCCACCTACAGCGATGTTCCCCTTATGTATCCCTTGGTGGATTCTTCTCCCGCCATCGTCGCAAGACCGAAATTGGCGATCATCGCTTCTCCGTCGACAATTAAGATGTTATCGGGTTTTATGTCACAATGAACATATCCCATGTTGTGGATGTGTTGAAGACCGAAGAGGATGGAACAAACATAGCGGCGGATGGTTGGCTCCGGTAGGGCATCGAAAATACAGCCTCCGGTGGCATATTCAAGGAAAAATTTGTAGATTGGTTCGCCGAGGTGTCGGTGGTGATATCGTGGCCGAAGAAGAGGATGATTTGAGGACATCCCTCCAGATCTGTGAGTACAGCCTCTTCGCGTTGGAGAAGCATGAAAAAAGAGAGACTAGTGGATTTGACGGCAAATATGACGGAGGGGAAGTTATGGTGGAATGCAAGATAGACTACGATGGAGCTTTCTAGTCCAATGGTGGCGCCTCTCACCCTATCCATCCTCCAATATTGTCTCCTCAAGTGTGGCAGAGGACAAGACGGTTAGCCTTATTTATTTATTTTTTTGGAAAGCATCAACATCCAACATGTGGAGAAAGAGCAGCTTTCTTAAGTGCGCTGTAGGATTAGGATCTTGACGCAGCACGCGGGAAAAGCTATCATAGATTATATTAAAATAAAATTCACTATTTTCGTATATTTCCAAATGTAGGACTCATTTTATAATAAAACTTTCTTTTATTTGTTTTTATTCTCTCTCACTCTCTCTATTAATAACTGTTTAAAATTTTAGGGATTTAAATTAATAACACTTAAAATATTAAAATTTACAGCATAAAATTAATTATGGTGAAAAGTCTTTGTTTCAAGAATTGAATTTTATTTATTTTTCTTATAATTGGAACTCATATGTTAACAACACTTTCATATG